GGTTCATCTTCCCCCAAGTTCAAGTTCGTCATGTGAAACTGAGGGTCGTTCGCATTACTTGCAGGTATAGGTTCATGCTCTTGATCTACAGCGTCATCATTGACCATAAAATCAATCATTGCCTCATCATCTTCTTCTTCTTGGTCAATAACATCGACTTCAGGATGGTTGTCCTTGTCATATTCATCCTCTTCTTCAAAGTCTTGAGAAGGATCTACCACCTGAGATTGATCTGGTTGTTGTAATAAAACATACAGCTCAATCTTATCGAACTCGGATTGTTCATGAATTTGAAACATGTTTCGAACATCATCATCGTCGCGCATCTTAAGTTGATAAAATTTGACTTGGTTGTTGTCAAATAGAAATGGGGACTTGTAAAGAATTTGGTAAACTGGACCACACTGCAATTTGGATTCTACTATATCTTTGAAGCGTGCAAAATTGGATTTCTTGTTTATCTGAAAGCGGATAAAATCGATATTACATAAATTAAAACCTAAGTTATCGCAGTTGAACGTCTCACCGTTAATATGGGAAACAATAGTATAATTTTGTGAATGATCCATGTTGTTGAGGTATGTTTTTTGTGAGTTATGGATGTATACTAGTAATACAACCTACACAGATGATTAAATAGACTGATATTCTGCATGCATGCGCCACCCTAGGTGGCTAATCCTCCTATTTTCTCATGCATGTGCCACCCTAGGTGGCTTATCCTCCTCTTTATGTATTCATGCGCCACCTATGTTGGCTTATCCTCCTTTTTTTACATGCATGCGTCACCTAGGGTGGCTCTTCATTGAACAACAAAACTTGCATGTATGTCATCTAATCCCTGCCACGCTGCAAGTTTGCATGCATGCAAAAAGCAATAAGGCATGTTGAATGACGCCTATGTACAATAAAAAGAGCATGTGCCACCTAGTGTGGCGCCTATGTGCAAGAAAGAAGATCATGCGCCACCTAGTTTGGCGCCTATGTGTATAAGTTGCATGCAAATTATTCTTCAAGATTTTCCTATAAATACATGTAACATTCACCCTATATTTTCATCACAATCATAACTCATACATTATTTCTTTCTTGAAGTCTCAACAACAACACAAGAGTAATCAAGAAAAAATGTCTCTCTTGACCATGGGTGATCAACATAGAGGAACTCCGAACAACATTGAAACCTTTGTAAGTGTATTTTCTCAATACCTATTTTTTTCCGACAATTTTTTGTTCCTTAATTCTTATGATTGTTATACTAAATCTTGTATTTCTTATACGTAATTCATGTTTTTAATAGGATGTTAAAAAATTCCGTTGTCGTGTCCATGAGTATGTCCCTTACGATGTTCAAATTGAACCATACTTACAACATGTCGGTTTTGGTCCGTTACTCAACATAGTCAATTACCATGTTGACTATAAAATTATTCTCGCATTAGTGGAGATATGGAGACCCGAAACTCACACCTTTCATCTTCCATGTGGTAAATGTACAGTCACACTAGAGGACGTGTACATGTTATTCTATCAATCAATCGACGGTAAGGCTGTCAATGGCCGAGTCAACCAAGACAATACCATATGCGAGGAACTTTTGGTAGTCTCTTTATTTGAACAAGGATCAAGAGGCCAAGGTATTAATCTCCGTCTTCTTAGAGAATATCATAGTAGTCTCGTAATAACCGAAAACTCTACCGAGCAAGAAAAAATTGTGAAAGTTCGATGTTACCTAATGATATTATTTGGCCATTTTTTATTTCCTGAAACAACGGGTAATACTGTTAATATCATGTATTTACCCTTGTTAAGACAATTTGATAAAATAAACACATATAGTTGGGGTTCAGCTGTTTTGGCCCATCTGTATAGCTCATTGTGTAAGAATGCATCAAACGGTAGTTGTTCTTTCTATTCTTGCGCCTTTTTGCTCCAGACATGGTGCTGATCGAGAATGTCGACACTCGCCCCCTGTAACACAAGGCCATTCGTCTTCCCCTTTGCTACAAAGTAAGATTACAAAATATTAAATTTTACATATTATATACCGAGACATGTAGTGTATTAATTTATTACCCATTTTTTCTATGTAGGTGTTCTGTTCCTGGGATGAATTACAACAAATCCCCTAGAAACGCAATAGTAGTCTACCAAAATCTTATTGATTATGTTGGACCCGAAGAGGTATTAAACTTATATATTTTATACAACGCATTGAATATTTTAATTAAGTTTAATATTTTATATAACTTTTTTTACTCTACAGTTTGTATGGAGGCCGTATAAGGATCTCGGCCATGAGATTAACCTTCTTGATGCTGAAGTATGGACTGCAAAAACAACACTCATCAGGTTCATTACTGTGGAGATGCACCACAGTGATCGTGTGAAGCTAAAGTTCGGCATGCAATAGGGTATCCCCGACCCCCCAACATGTTTGGGCCAATGGCATCTACTCCGAGTTGACGACCAGTGGGGATTTAACGATTTGAGAGACTTCGTTAAAAATCAATGTCGTCAATGGAGGCATAGACGTGAATTGGTCATAAGGGAGCCGATCTTGCAAGATGACTTAAAATCGACGCTCCAATATTTGAGATGGTACACATCGGTTTCAACAAATTTGTTTCTGTCTCAAGAGACTTATTTGATTGACCCACGCCAAAGAGCTGCAACATACGCCCAACAACAACCCCAACAACCAACCCCTCAACAATACCAGACCCAACAACCAACCCCTCAACAATACCAAACCCAACCACAATGTCAACCCACTCAAACCCAACAACCATACACCACCTCATTCAACCAAACTCGTCATCAATTCATGTCGCACACACAAACACAATACCAAGAGCATGACTCGATCCACCACCAACAATATGCACCATCCTCATCCTACCACAACACCCAAGACACATATGATACATCTCCTTCCTATCATTCCACTCAACCTCCATACAGTCAAACATCATATCATCGAAGTACCCAACCATCATACGGATTTCAGACACCACAAAAACCGTTACTTCGTTTTCATCATGATTCAACATCCCAATACTATCAACCATCCCACCACCCACACATATCCCAACCAACAAGATCAAACTTCAACAATATGGGCACCGATCTCTTTGGAAGCACATCTCAGTGGGGCGAAATGATCGATGAGATGTATGATCCTGATATACCAGGACCATCACATCAAGCACCTCATAATCAAGCAAGTCAGAACAGACCACAAACACCTCGGGAAAATCAACAGAGAGGAGTGAGACAAGGGACGAGGCAAAGGCGCAGCCATTTATGTCATACGGGGACCCGCTTAGGTTGAGGGGACGTCCATAAAAAATGTATCCATGTGTTGTATAATATTAAATATTAATATAAAATATTTTTAGTTTTTTTCTATTTTATTTATAAAAAAATTGTAATTACACTGTCAAGTCAAAGAGGGTGGCGCCTCCTCTCAAAAACACATGCATGCGCCACACTACATGACTTTACAAAGGAGGACAAGCCATGCAATGTAGCGCCTCCTCTTTAATTTGAGTGCATGCGCCACACAGAGTGGCGTCTCCTCTGTGTGGCAAAAAAAATTTATTTGAAAAGTGGTCATTTTGATAAAAAAATTTAAAAATATGATTATTTGAGAAAAAATTTTAAAAAAAAAATTATTTAAAAAAAAATCTCATTTTTCGCTTATAACTTCTCTCTACATTCTTTTCATGTGTAATCAAATTTACTAAAGAAAAATATTTTAGAAACTTCTATTTAGATTTTTTTAAAGTGATCAAAAAGGTAAATTGATAAATTTATAGACATTAAAAACTTAGTAAACAAAAGAACGGAAAAAGTAGTTGAAAACTATGAACTCTGTCAAACTTAATGGACAACATGCATCTAGAATATTATCTCACACAAGTGGGGTGGTTTTGTCCATATTTTTTCATCTAGTTAAATAATTTAAATTTCACTTTTAAAATAAATAAGTGAATTGTTGCAGTTTTTTTTTTGACAAGATTGAATGTAAATTGTTGCAGATTTAAATCCACATATATCAAATTTAATGTTTCTACATAATTATTACTATTAATTAACCTAATTGAATTTTTTTATTAATTGAGAATTTAGGATATATTTTATTATTTCTATAATTAAAATTGTCAGATAAAATTAAAATGATAAAAAGTGGTATTAATTTTTTAATATTTTTAATTCTAGATTAAAATTTGCAGTTTTTCATTAATAGACATTATTTAATGTGAGGTGTGCTGTTAAATTTTTTAAAATCCAATAGGAATCTTTTGAAAAAAGATATTTTATGCAATTTATCTAACTTTTTGAAGAAAATTTTTTTTTTTAAAAACTCTCATTACACGTTGCATATAAAAATATTTATCATTAAATCTTTGGTAATTAAGGAAGCCCTAGAGCCATATTTGAGAGTATATTTTAATATAAATCAATGCCAAATTTTTAGAATAGCAATTAAACAATAAAATAGTACTCCAACTGTTTTATTTTTCAATAAAAAATAATAATATTAAAATGTAATAAAATATATTTAAACATATTTATATAAAGCAAAAAATACAACTCAATAATTTGATATAATTATAGTAAAATCTAGCCAAAAAAAAGGCATGCAGTTGGTGAAGCAACCTTTTGACATTGTAAACAGAAATCTTCAAATCAAAATCAAATAATCCCAAAAGTCACAAAACACGGTGGTTGAGAATTTTGTTCTTTTCCCAAACAACCCAAACGCGCGTTTACTAATTCTAGCTTCTGCTTTTTCTTATACAACAACACACCTTTATTCTCCTCATCATAAAACCCAAAAAATCAAAAACTCAAAAATCTCAAAAACAAATCCAACCCAACATTCTCCTACCCTTTTTAATTCGTGGGCTGTCATTATTTTTTCTTGTTTCATCCTCAATTTCATAAAAATCATACCTTTGAATTCATTTTTTGTGCTGTGTTCTTGAGAAAAGATGTGTCCTTTAAGGTTCATTTTAGTGTTTTTTTCTGCTGTTCTCGCTGGTTACTATGCATGGAAAACGGTTTTTTCCTCACCAAAGGTTGATTTGGCTTCTGATGATTCAATTGAAGAAGAAAAATCATCTCTCAAGAAAGAACAATTTGGTTTCATAAAGGTATACCCTTCAATATCATCTTTCTATAATGGCCAGTTATTTTTTATCCTTTACTTTTTTTTTTCTTTTTTAAGTAATGTTTAATCTGTTCTTGATATGAAAGAATCCAAATCTTGATTTTTTTTTTAAATTTATAAATATTTTTTAGAGTAGTGTTTGATTAGGTTTTTAGATGATGTTTTAATTTTGAATTTTGGGTTTTTCTTTTTTTTTTTGTGTTTGGTTGTGTTTTTGTATTCAATTAATAAGAATATGTTGATTGGTTTTTTTTTGTTTTTTTTTTACTTTTAGATGATATTAAATTTTGAGGTTTTTCTTTTGTGTTTGGTTAAGATTTTTTTTCTTTATAAATTCTTGTTTTATTTATTTTTTTTATTTTGTCTTTAAATCATCATAATGTGTGTGGAATGGATATTCATTTGACTTTTTTTTTTTGTGTGTGTTTGGTTGTGTTTTTGTTTTGAGCTCACCAAAATGTTGATTGGGTTTTCAGATGATTCAAAGTGGATTTTGGGTTTTTGTTGACATGGCTAGTGGAAGGTATTTATGGAGAAATTTGAGGCAAACAAACAAGGATATTGAATTGAAGAGCTCTTAGAGTTAGGAACTCTATGATTTTGTAAATTCTTGTATACCCACTTTTATATTCTTGCTTGTTTGTGGGTTCAAGAATAATGTTTGGAAGATAATTGGAGTGAAAGAACTCTCAATGTACAAGTAATCATTTTGCATTTTGTTCATGTTTGTTTTCAAAGCCTTATTGTCTCATTACTATTTAGATCATTTCTATTATCTCTCAAATTCAATGTCAATATTGAAGAAAAATGAAGATGAAGGGGAGATTGAAAAAATATATTGTTTTATATTAAGATAAATTAATGACCGATCGATCAAAATTTAATAATTTTAAAAAATATAGATAGTAATTTTTGTCATAATTTAAAAGGATAATGTTTTGTCAAAATCTGATTTTGATATAACATTTGTAAATCTGCATCCCTCGTAGGTGTTGATTCATAATGATATTAATATAGGTAACTTACAATCATTGGAAAGCGATAATTTAATATAGGTCAAATACATTTTTGTTTAACTTTTTTCCAAAGTTTTTCATTAAATCCTAAATATTTTAGTTTGGATTTTAATTTTATTTTAATTTTAAAGAATGTGATATAATTGAAGAAGATGAAAGTTGATTAAATAATTGATATAAGATTCTCATTTTTAGTTTGATGAAGATAAAAGTCGATGAAGATGATGATGGATAATATAAGATTTTATTTTTTAATAAAAATTAATAATAAAATAATTTAATTTGTTGAATTGAAATTGTCACATCAATATGTCAATATTTTTAACTCTTTGATCTTGTGAAACGTTGAAATGTTTTTAGAGAGATACTCTAACCTCTCTAATTTTTTCCGTCAATCTAAGACATTCTTTTTCAATAAAAAGATTTTTAGCTACGAGTGTAAAATACGGATGGCAACAAGGAAGGAGACGTAGGGAAAACAAAACTTGTTACCAAAACGGTAAGAAGGAGTATAAAATCAAATCATCGTTCTTCTTCACCAACTTCTCAAAGAACTTTGGTGCCAAGGAAATGTACGAGGAGTTCTAATGTTTTGGTGATATTGATGAAGTCATCATCCCCTCCAAAAGAGATATTAGAGACAAGCACTATGATTTTGTCAGGTTTTTTAATGTTAGAGATGAAGATAATCTTGCAATGAAGCTAGACGACATCATCATTGGGAGGAGAAAAATATGTGTCAATGTTCCTCGGTTTTAAAGAAAGAATCCTCGTAAAGTAGAAAGTAATGGGAGAATGAAGCATGAAGTGGTTAGAATATTCAAGGAGGATTTGAAGCCAACGACATCAAACACTTATATCGAGATGATTAAATCGAAAGCTAGACCTTTAGCTCCGAAAGCTATGAGAGTTTTAAATTTTCACGTGGAGGAAAGAAAACTCATCATATTTCGTAAGGCTTACGTGGGGTTTGTGGAAAACCCAGGGGAAACTTACAACATACAGAAGGCTATCCACATGGAAAGTTACTTTTAAGTCCAAGTGACCCTTTTAGGCACCAACATTTGCTTGTTAGAAGATAGGGTGGAAGGTGAGTTGAAAGCTTTAGTGGATGAAGGGAAAGGATGGTTAATTCAATGGCTTAGAGAAGTCAGGCCATGTAAATATACGTTGATGTTGAAAGAGTCACCTGGATAAGATGCTACTGTATATCAATTCAAGCTAGGAACCATGAGTTTTTCTATCCCTAGTTGGAGGTGTGGTCGAATATCTATGTGCATATGACAACACTAGAGCCAACACCAAGATGGAAGTGGCACGACAGTTGGTCAGAACCAAACATTCCAAGGTTTTAACAGAAGATGTTGAAGCAATCATCAACGAATGTTCATTCAATATCAAAATTGTAGAGGAATATCAAGGGCCACACAGAATCCAAATTTTGGTCGTTTCCTCATTGGACACATCAAGTGATGAATCTAAAGAGTCTAAAGATCAACTAAGCAAGTGGTATGAAGGTGATGATGACTTTGTTGAAATGGAAGTGGAAAAGGTGAAGGTTAGGGATGATGTTGGTTCCCTAGGGGAAACAAAAAATAAGTCGAATTGTCAAAATCAAAGCAGCAAAGGGTTAATCTAGAGTTGATAGCTGGTGAAAGTTGTAAGAAAGGGTGTTGATTTTAATGGGATTTTCTCACCTGTTGTAAAGATGTCATCAATTATAATCGTGTTGAGTTTGACTGCTTGAGAAAATGGATGTGAAAATGACTTTCATTCATGGTGATTTGGAGGAAGAGATCTACATGAAACAACCTGATGAATTTCAAGTTAAAGGCAAAGAAGATCATGTGTGTAAATTGAGAAAAAGCTTATGTGGGTTGAAGAAAGCTCCAAGGAAATTGTAAAATAAGTTTGAGCCTGTTATGTGTGATCAAGGATGCCAGAAGACTACTTCATATCACCGTGTCTTTGTTAGAAAATTTTCTAACGGTGTGTTGGCTCCTAAATTCGACACCCTTGTTTTATTAATGTCAGCCATTAAAGCTGAAGGATGTTTTCGACTGGCTAAGTCTGTCGAAATGCCCGTCGAAAGATGGCAAAGTACTTAGAAGATTTCTTCCAAGGGAGAAGTTGGTTGCCTTCGACGTCGAAGGAGTTTCTCGTCGAAGATGTCTCTCGACGAAGGTGTTCGATGGTTCAGAGTGGAGCAGTTTGAAATTCAAGCGTTTTGAGGGAAAACGGTTTCCAGCAGTTACCAAGTGCAACGTGCAAAGATCTGGAGCGTCGAACGTTGAGAACGTGCCAAGTGGAATCATCTCGAAGCAGTGTAACTGCCCGACGGTTACTTGGGATGTTTTAGTATAAATAGTAGTAGACATGTAGTTTCTCGCGTGTGTTCACAATTCTATACAAAGTCACTCATATAAATTCGAGTACCCAGCGTGTGAGAAAGAATTGTTGAGAAATGTATGTGTGAAACACCAACTTTATTAATCAAAGTCATTTACTTTTCCAGAAATTTACTTGCTTTCTCCTTTACATTCCTGTCGAAGCCTTTTACTTTAAGCCTTGTTTATTTTACCAAGTCCTTTCTTCATGCAATTTTATTTAAAGCCTCTTTATTTAAAGCCTTATCCAATTTAATCAAAACTTCAAAATCAACCTATGTCCTAGGATCAATCTGATCGATCCTGCGAGTAACCAAATAAGTAACCATTTGGAGGATTAGCGGTTGTTTACCAAATCCCAAGGTAAAAAAATTGGCACACCCGGTGGGACTGTGTGTTGATTGTTGAAAATAATCTCATCTTTTCGAGGAGTGTTGTATGTTATTGAGAAGTGGTAGAATATACACAAACGATAACAATACTGCCAGAAGAAGGGAAGAGATGGCGAATCCGCCAAACAATAACGAAATCCCACAAACGAATGTGGGAGCAACGGTTAGTACGACCGTAAGTGAAGTGACAACTGTTGGTTCGACACCAGCAGTATCGGTCACAACCACGGGGCCAATACCTTCGTTAACAGGCCCCAGGATGCCTTTGGGAACTCCCCCACCAAGGGGAAATTTAGGCACAAGGCCTTTTGTTCCCCCAGGATTTATTCCACTCTATGGTATGCCAACTTCTGAATTGGCTAGCCTGACGAATGCTACGTCCACTTTTTCAGACCCTTTAGTGAGTGCCTCTTCGCCACTCCAAGGTTCTGGAGTAGGCATGGCGAATAGAAATAGGACCCAACTCTTAGGAGGAACGTCCCAAGTAGCCCATGGCCTTACAAATGCTTCGACAGCAGTCTTGAGGCAACAGATGGACGAAAGCAACCATGATATGGTGCAAATGTTGGCACAGACTTTGAGTACAGTGCTAAACCCTCTAATACAAAACACTACTCAATCGAATCAGCAAGTGACAGCGCAAATGACGCGTTTGGCTGATTTCTTTGGAGTACCCCAACCTATTCGACAGCCCCAAAGGGCGCAAATAAGGGGAAACCAGGGGATATTCTTAGAGGAAGAAACCACCATCAACCAGGCTCAACAGCCTGTCGAAGAAAACTTTAGGGCACGATTGGAGCAACCTGTCGAGGAACCTAGGGTAATAACCCCAGAGGTAAGGTTAGTTAACAGAAACCAAAATGCTGACGAGGTAGTCCAGCATATCCAATACCAAAATACGGGTTTGGAAAATAATCTGGCAACCATGATCGAAAGGATCATGACTCAAAATGGGATGAACATGGGCTTTCGAAGGCCCAATTTTACATCTCCATTGTCAGAGTACGTGTTACAGACAGACTTACCTCCTAGATGCAAAGTCCCCAAATTTACTAAGTTCTCTGGGGACACGACAGAATCTACTGTCGAGCATGTGGCGAGATATTTGATCGAAGCAGGTGACATTTCGAATAACGAAAACCTAAGGATCAAGTACTTCCCAAGTTCTTTAACAAAGAACGCTTTTACTTGGTTTACAACTCTCCCCCCCAATTCGATCCATCATTGGACCCAGTTGGAAAGATTGTTCCATGAACAATTCTACATGGGGCAAACCAAGATAAGCCTGAAAGAATTGGCCAGTGTAAAGAGACGTTTCACTGAACCTATAGACGAATATCTAAATAGGTTTAGGCTGCTCAAGGCGAGATGTTTTACACAAGTGCCAGAACACGAACTAGTCGAAATAGCCGCAGGCGGTTTAGATTATTCCATTAGGAAGAAGCTAGACACCCAATACCTGAGAGACATGGCCCAACTGGCCGATAGAGTTCGACAGGTAGAACGCCTCAAAGCTGAAAAAGCAAAGGCAACGAAAACTTACAAGAGAGAGAGGATAGCGTACGTTGAGATGGATGACGAAGATCCAGAATCCTTCGACGATACTTTGGCTGTCGAAGAAGGAGAAGTCGATTTAGCAGAACTGAAACAAGGGCCACCATACTCTTGTAAACTGTTAGTCCCCTCAAGTGGGAAAAATCCCGCTGGTCCAGAAAGGACCAACGATAGGTTCCCCAAAAAGACTTATAGTTTTGACATCACAAAGTGTGATGAAATATTCGACTTG